CCTTGAGTTATAAAAAGATGAACTCTTCACTCTAGTGAGGATGCCTCACTATTTTTGAAACTAGTTTATAAGTTGTACGGTAACGAAATTAGTATCTTCATATTTAAACTTTTGTTCGTTGAACTCTCCACCGCCTCTTATTATAATTTTGGAGAGTATTTGTCTCACACATTGAGGTCCGATTTTGATATCAATGAGGACTGAAAACAGAAGGGGCACGCCGTCAATATGTATATATCAAAATACATATGGAGCTATTTAGGTCGTTATTGTCATTCGAAAAAAAAATTTAAATTTTTATTTGATTTATTAAATTATCTGTTTCGTTTATAAACAATCCATATATAGTCGACTAATATTTAACTAATACCATCAGTTGCTAGCAATTTTAACGTATTTATTTAAACTTTATGTTTGTGTAAATCCTAAATTTTATTATTGTATTTTGTACATGCAGGATTGTTATCATTTGTGGAATTGGTTAATGAAATCAATTTTTATATATAGTAATTTATTCTACACTAAATAAGGCACACTTCAAGGGGCCCCCTTTGCTCCAAAGTAATATATTAGTTACATCTAATAAAGTTGTATTGTAGACATTTCTTTCTTATATTTTGGTGGGAGACAAGAATCACTTGGAGTTTAGTATTGTTTTCAGAACTCAGTATATGTTAAATTAGTTTGGTTGTGTACATAATGAGTTTACATAATGGTTTACGTAAACATGATATGATGAGTTATGATTAGGTCAGAATTTTATCAACCTAAAAAATAATAATAATAATAATAATAATAATAATAATAAAATAAAAATAACTTGCCCACTCTCTTTTTAACACATCATCTATATGTAAATTATTATATAACTGTTTATGTATAAGTAACATTATTAAAAATAGTTTGGGGTTCAAGATAAAAGTATGATTTTTTGGGATATATGGCCACTGTTCTTTCATCTATCACTTAGGATTCGTGTTTTCGAAATAGATGAAAGCCTGATGGAGCAATTCTATGCGTCTGTGTATATATAGAGAGAGAGTTGTAAGATTCCTAGTTGGAAAAATATCTAAACAGATAATGAAGTCCATCCAATTATCTCATAGTGTGAAAGCATTTTCATAAACCCCACCAACTCTACATATCACATATATAACAATCATATTAACTAATCTCTCTCTCTCTCTCTCACAGAGAAAGGTGCAGTGTAGATTGAGCTTTTTTCTGGTGAAAATGGGCAGAAAGTGCTCAATTTGTGGACACATAGGTCACAATTCAAGGACTTGTATCATTTCTAGAGGGTCTGTTAATGTTAGGCTGTTTGGAGTACAACTTGAAGTATCTTCTCCTTCCGTTCCCATCAAGAAATGCTTCAGCTTGGATTGCTTACCATCCTCCTCGTTGCCTGCAGCAGCGTCGTCTTCCTCCCTATCTTGTTCGCTATCTTCCCAAGTTTCAATCAACGAAAATTCCGATAAGACATTAATTGGTTATCTCTCTGATGGTCATTTACCCCAAGTTCAGGAAAGAAAGAAAGGTATGTATGGTATATATGTGGAACTGTTATCCTTCTTAACCCTTCCAGCTTTCTGGGATGTTAACAATGTAGACAATATTAAGAGAGACAAATAAATCAAATTCTCGTTCATTGTACTATCCAGTATTTCTGTTTAACGCTGCACACAGAACATGCCTGGGATGGCTTTAATTTTGAAGATAGTTATTTTCCATAGTTTCTAATCTATTACCCTTCTATGAAATAATCGTCTCTTCTTTATTCTCTCTTCCTCATGCAAATTCAATGGCTTTGATGATATTGTTAACTGGATTAATGCTAGGAATTCCATGGACCGAAGAAGAACACAGGGCTTTCCTAATTGGGCTTGAGAAGCAAGGAAAAGGAGATTGGAGGGGAATTTCAAGAAACTTCGTAACTACAAGAACTCCAACACAAGTTGCAAGTCATGCTCAAAAGTACTTTCTCCGGCAAGCCAGTTTGTACAAGAAGAAGAGACGGTCGAGCCTCTTTGACATGGTATATATCCATTTTTTTAACTTCACCTGTGCAACACAGACTTGTCTGATGCACGTATGGTACTCATTATCTTGTCAAAAAAGCCGAGTATATTTAGCCTATGTTTGGCCTCCATTTTGCAAAAACGCATTTTTTTCAAAGCCCATTTTAAACCACACTTTCTCCTGTTGAATAATTTTGTATACAAATCTAAAACTTTTTCTTATTTTTTAATTGCATGTTCTCCAATAAAATACTATTCCGAAATGTATTTTGGCTCAAACAGGCACAGAACATACATAGATGTTGATTTCATGGTTTTGTTGACACGAACAGGTTAGTAATGCTGCTTCAAAGACAGATTCGAATCAAGAAATAGGACAAGATGATGCTATTCTGCCCCCGATAGACCTGAATTCATCTGGACAAGACAACGAGTGGAATGATCAAGAATGTGAAAATTCTCTAATAGTTCCGGAACTGAATTCGAGCAGCTCTCTTTGTGCAT